CCAAGCCAAGAGCACGGAATATCTTTCCATTTCTTTGTGACTTCTTCAATTTCTTTCGGCAATGTTTTAGAGTTTTCAGTGTACAGATCTTTCACCTTTTTGGTTAAGTTTATTCCTAGGTATTTTATTCTTTTTGTTGCAATTGTAAACGGGATTGTATTCTTAATTTCTCTTTCTGCTGCTTTGTTGTTAGTGTATAGAAACACAACTAATTTTTGTATGTTGATTTTGTATCCTGCAACGTTACCATATTCATTTATTACTTCTAAAAGTTTTTTGGTGGATTCTTTAGGGTTTTCTATATATAAAATCATGTCATCTGCAAATAGTCATGATGTACCTTTTAAAAAACAAACTTAAGGGGCTGGCCTGGCGGTGCAGTGGTTAAGTGCGCACGCTCTGCTTTGGCAGCCCGGAGTTCATAGGTTTGGATCCCGGGCACACACCGCTTGTCAAGCCATGCTGTGGCAGCATCCCATATAAAGTAGAGGAAGATGGGCACAGATGTTAGTCTAGGGCCAATCTTCCTTGGCAAAAAGAAGAAGATTGGCATTGGATGTTAGCTCAGGGCTGATCTTCCTCACACACACACAAAAAAACAAACTTGAATCTGACAAATGGCTAAAAATATAGGCAACTTCATATCTATAATTTATATAAAATATACTTGCAATAGAAAATTGGTTAAGACATAAATAGGCAATATATAGAAAGGAAAATTAGAAAATCCAACGTTTAAATAAAAACAAGCTAGATATAATTAATCATAAGTGAAATATACATCAAAACAATAGGATGCCATTTTAAACCACAGATCAGCAAAATGAAAGTCTGAAAATATCAAGTGTTGACAGTATTGTGAAAGGAATGGTAGTCTCATACATAGTTGATAGAAGTGTAAATTGGTACACTATGGAAAGCAGTTTTGCAGTCTCTAGTCAAAGTTAAAATTGGTACACCCTATAACTCACCTATTCTAGTTCTTTGGGTTAAGTTTGAAAACTTTCATGAAAAAGGGTCATTTCTAGAATGGCAAAGCAAGGACTTCCAAAAATCTGTGCCTCCATAAAAACAATAAGAATGCTGGAAAAAATTGTCAAAATTAAGTGTGCCAAGACCATTCAATGGTATATTGTATATGGATTGAGAAGAACAGTCTTTTCAACAAAGAGTCCTGAGAAAACTAATTATCCACTTGCAAAAGAATGAAATTGGACCCTTACCTAACACCACATACAAAAATTATCTCAAAATGGATCAAAGGCCTAAATGTAAAAGCTAAAACCATAACACTCTCAGAAGAAAATACAGAGGAAAAGCCTCATGACATTGGATTTGGCAGTGATTTCTTGGTTATGACACCAAAGACACAGATGATAAAAGAAAAATGGACAAATTAGATTTCATCAAAATTAAAAACTTTTGTGCATCAAAAGACACTAATAGAGTAAAAAAGGCAATTCATGGAATGGGAGAAAATATTTGCAAATCACATATCTGATAAGAGATTGACAGTTAGAATAGAGAACTCCTAAAACTTACCAACAAAAAAACAAACAACCCAGGGCCGGCCAGGTGGCTTAGCAGTTAAGTTCGTGCACTCCGCTTTGGCAGCCGGGGGTTCCCAGGTTCGGATCCCGGGCTTGACATCACTTGTCAAGCCATGCTGTTGCAGCATACCATATAAAGTAGAGGAAGATGGGCATGGATGTTAGCCCAGGGCCAATCTTCCTCAGCAAAAAGAGGAGGATTGGCAATGGATGTTAGCTCAGTGCTAATCTTCCTCACAAAAAACAAACAAACAAACAACCCAATGCAAAAATGGGCAAAGGACTTGAATAGACATTTCCCCAAAGAAGATATACGAATGGCCAATAAGCACATGAAAAGATGCTCAACATCATTAGTCATTAGGGAAATGCAACTAGAAGAATGTGCAACTATGACTTACAACTATCGCTTGGGGCTTTAGGGGAAAAATAAATAAATAAAAAATTAAAAAAAAAAAAAAAAACACAAGGAGATGCCACTTCACACATATTAGGATGGCTATTATCAAAAAACAAGAAACAGAAAATAATAAGTTGTTGGCAAGGATGTGGAGAAATTAGAACGCTTGTGTGCTGCTGGTGGGAATGTAAAATGGCAAAGAGGAATTGGAGGGTTCTATACTGAAAATGTAAAATGGCAATTTAGAAATCTCTATCAAGAGCCTCAAAAGACCTATGTACAACCATTCTATAGAAATTTGGACTAAGAAAATAACCTAGAATTAAGAGAAAGTTTTGTATAATAAAGTACATTATACAAGATCCACAAAATATGTGCATAAAAATAATTTGTGTAGAAATACATTCAAAAGTTGTCAGTTTTAAAATGTTTTACATATTTTCCACTATAAATATGTATTTACTTATATAAATTATATGTAATGTATATGTAATATGTAAACTATAAATATAAACATCTACATATAAAACAGAAGTAAGCTTTATTTTTTTAAGCCTAAAATAAATCTCAGCCATTAACAGAGCTTGCTTTGAATGAAATGTTAGCACATAAGGAAAAGATGGCCATATGGGTGTTTAAATCTACATAAATATCTGGCTGTATGGCTTTACCTCTCCAACAGATGGAACTTGCAGACCAACCATGTAGTTATGCACAGGCCCTAGTAGAATGAAGGATTCAGGCACAGAGTAGGCAGCTTCCAATGTGACCTTCAGCAGACTGCCTCCTGAGATCTGGGCTGGGGTCAATAAGGGCTCCGACACAAATACTTTAACTTCAAGACTGCACTGCTAGAAAAGAACAAAATTATGCAGCATTTTGAAAACACCAGAGGCCTCCCTTTTTTTGCATTATCTCATTTTAATCTCATATGACTGTTCAAAGGAAGAAGGTCAAGTTTAATTATTTCCATATGGGAGATTCAAATAACTTTCTTTAGGTCCCATGAGTTAGAGAAAAAGCCAAGAACAAAACCTTATCCCTAAGCTAGAGCCCTTCCCCTCTAACATACTGAGGTCAAGTATGTGTACAAAGACATATAGAAGAGGAATTGGAGGGTTCTATACTGAAATGTTAATAGTATTTGTAAGGGAGTGAGTGAGATTGAGGTGCTTTTTTTGCTAGTCTATATTTTATGATTATTTTTGTAATTTAAATGTAGTGCTGTTTAAAAAAACTTTTAGATTTTTTAATTAAATATTTGAAAAACATATTCTTCAATATATTTCTATTTTTCAAAGATGAGAAAGTATTTTTGGCAGCATGAACAAGCTCTAGGAATGAATTTTTTAGAAGGGCTGCCATATTTGATGTTAGCGATGTATCCAAGTAGGGTAGTCAAGACAGCCAGTGTTTTTTTTAATTGGAGAGGAGAAAAAAATTTGTTCATTTTCATTTTATTTCTTAGGAATCAACATTAATAAGAATAATTAATATTATTTTTAAAGAATTAAGTATCCTAATAATGGGAAATTCCCAAGTTATGTCTCCAATAGTAATTCTGATTTGGTAAATGCAGTGCTTTTTAATAAGAAAATACTTTTTCAAATATATATGTATATACCCATATACAGACATATAGACATATATGTCTATATCTCTGACATTGTCACACAGGATACATTAAAAAGGTAGGTTGGTTTAAAATGTGTATTGATTGCTAATTATATGCCAGGCACTTTACTACAGCACAAAGAATATAAAGATGAAGATGACGTGGCCTCTTTCATCATGGAATTCACATTATAATTCCATTATTTATGATAAATGCTATAATAGAGACTTGTACAAAATGCCCTAGTCAAGGGGGACCCAGGAGGAAGTGAATAATTAATTATTGGAGTGGGGAGGAGTAAGAGATGGTGACATGTGAATTGACTTGCACAAGATAAATAGGAGTTTGCAATCTGGATAAGCAGAGGAAGAAAAGAGAAAATAATTCTGGACAAAAAGAAGAGTTTATATAAAAGGGGACTGAAATAGCATTGTGTATTCAGTTCATGTATTTTAGAGCATAATGCACAAGGAGGGAGCGCTGAGAGATGAGATTGAACAAGGGACAGGCTCCTATCATAAAAGTTGTTGCATGCCTGCTAAAGAATCTGGACCTTAACATGTAAGCAGTGGGTGAATCCATGAACCACACAGTACTAAAAGCAAGGGAAGAGATGTGATCATATTCACTTTTAAGTCACTCTGAACTGGAAGAAGGCAACAGCAGTTACAAGGCTACTTGTAATATTCCAGGTGAGAGACTATAAGGCAATAAAGAATAGCAATGAAGCTAAGAAGAGAGAGTCCAAAGGTACTTAGGAGATAGAAAAAGCTGGATTTGGTGAAAGACAGATTTAGTGATTAGTTGTAGTTAGGGTCTGAGGGAGCAGTCATGGATGTAACCTAGGTTCTACGTATGTTCTATGATTTCACAGGGATGTGATACCACTAGTCAAAATAACTAAAATAAAATGAAGAATAAGTTAAAGGGAGGATACTGAGTTCAGTTTTAGAATGTTGAGTTTTAGGTGCCTATGGGACATCATTATAGAGAAATCCAGTAGGTGGTTGTAAAGTTTGACATTCTGGAATTCAGGAGAGGAGTCTGGGCTGAAGCTGTTGAATTAGAAGTCTTCAACATACTGGTGACTGTTAAAATCATGGATGACCCCCCGCCCCAGGAGTATAAACACAAACGAAGAGGTTAGCCAAGGACAGACATTCATACTTAAGGGACAGACAGAGGAAAGAGATCCGGTTCAGGAACCTGAGAAAGTACAGTCAGTGAGCAGGAAATCAGAACACCAAAGGGAGGAAAGATTTTAAGAAAGAGAAGCATTGAAGAATGTGACATCTCCGGTCAATATGTCTCTGAGAGGATAAGGAAAATGTCCCTAAGGTTTCTAACTTGTATTACTCAATCAAGACAGGGAATACTGGAAGATGAATTGGAATCTCCTTTCCAAGTACAGGTTTATATGATTTTAGTCTCTGAGTTTTGACAATAACCAGTGTAGATGCTTAAATATATAATTAGTGAGCACTCTCAAGCAAATGCAAATTAACTGTCACATATTGTTTTCTTGAGTATATAAAATAAGCAAGCACAGGAATATTATGAGCAAAGATCATGAGGACTGACAATCCATTTGACTAACTTTTCTTCTGTAGGTATCTAAGGAAAATCAACAGTACATAGGCTGGCAGACTGGACCAAGGAAGGCAGACTGGCTCAAACATATAGCTCTTTCCAGCATAAATCACATGGAATGACAGAAAGATAATAAATGATATCTTTATATCCAATAAAACGATAATGCTGTAATAGCCCTGGAAAACAAGAATTACCATCACTGGACTACATATTTTTAGGAATCCTTGAAAGACAGAAAGCAAATTAAATCAGATCTACAAAAAAACAAAACTAGAAGAAACCAACCACATCCTAAAATAATGGATTGTGGCAGCTCCAAGGTCAGAATTAGCAAGAAGCAGGAAGGGACCTACAACAATGGTTAATTAGGGAACTGCATTTGGAATAGTTGGATCAATTGGGCCCTGCTCTCTCCTTTACTTGTGCAAAACAGAAGGCAGCTATGGTATCTGCTGAGAGTGAGTGCACTTGTAGCAGAGTGGCAAAGCAGTGCCCCAAGAAGCTACTGATCCCCAGAAGAAATGGGAAACAGCCCAGAAGACAAACCAGTGGCACAGCCTACCCATTCATGCTTCCCCTCCTCCAATAACCAGAGGCAGGCTACCATGCCAGAAAGTGTGTTGGGTGCATTCATGTAATATCTAATTTAATCCAGCAGGACATAGCTCAAGAGGCATTTCCATGGTTAAGCCTTCTCTATATCTACCCCCAGGGAAAGTAACCAATACCTACTTTGTGCCCACGTGGCCGACCCCACCATTTAATCACACTAGATTTTAATCCATAATATGTAGATTATGCACTCCTAAAGTAGGACTCTGCCTTATTTATCTTTGTTTCTCAGAACCTAGCACTATGTGTGCCTGTGGAAAGAAGGTGCTTGATGAATTGGACTCAATTGAATTGAAACTTAATAGCAGACAGACTTGTTAGACTGAATGGCAGGCTAAAGTGTTGAGAGTTAAAACTCTGATTACCTTAACACCTGATCGAAGAGGTTCTAAAGGTGAGCCTGGCACCGCGTGCAATGGGACCATCATTTCAAATGAACTCTCTCCTGTGAAAAGAAGACCAAGTAAAGCCAAAGGAAGGGTTAGGCAGAGATAAATGTGCTCATCTTTTCATCAAATCCCTCAAATTCATTGAGGCTGACTTTTTGCGCTTCTCTGGAGCTAAATTTTATGAGCTTTTCTATTTCTGCTTTTAAGCAAATCACATATCTGACCTTCTAGTAAAGGAAGAAGGTCCACCACGGCTTGACCAAGAATTAAGGTCTTCTCATCTTTCTGTTTCTTTTCTTTTGGTAAAACTGCAATCACAGTTACTAGAAAAATCAAAACAAAGAAAATAACATGTCTAGCTCATCCATCAGATAACCAAGGTACAGCAAGCAAAGCATTGTCAAAGAAATTTAAGTTAAGAGAATGAATTTGAAACTCAAGAAGGTACTATTTTTGGTGAGTTCTGGTATAAAATACTGGACCATCTCAGCGACTTATTAAACTTTTTGCATGTAGGTTATAATCAAAAATGAATTTTACATCATAAGCACGCACACACATTTGTATAAAAGTAACTGATACATATAACAAAGTTTCATGTACTATTCATCCTTACTAGCTTAAAACGCTTAGGTATTTTCTATTCTATTTCATGTATAAGAAATTACTGGTCATGATCTCCTTCAACCAATTTTAGGAACGACTAAAAAGTCACAATCTGCAGTTTGAAAAACACCTTCTAGATGTTCCAATATTGCCTAGCATAGGGCTTAGCAGACCTTGGAGTCATTTACCGAGCATGCAAGGTATGTACCAGGGTTTTCACTGCACCATTATTCTGTGTATGTGCTTAACATTTATTATGAAAAATTCAAATACACAAAAGTAGAGAGATAGTACAATAAATATCCATATAACCATCACCTAGATTTAACGATAGTTAACATATTGTCATATTTGCTTCATCTATTCTTCTTTGCTGAAATACTTGCAAGTAAATTACAGACATCATGGCATTTTACCCCTAAAGACTCAAGTATACAAACCCAAAATAAGGCATTTTCCTACATAATCACAACACCTTTATCACATCCAGCAAGTTGTGATAATAGCATTAAATATAATTCCTTAGTTCATCTAATGCCGAGTCTACACTGAACATTTCTCAATTATCCCAAAATTTATTTTGTAGCTGGTTTTTTCAAACCAGGATCCAATCAAATACTACATGTTGCACTTGGTTGTCATGTTTCTTGTTTCTTTTCCATTTAGAACAGTCCTTCCTCCCACATACTTTTTTTTTTCCTATGACACTGATTTGTTGAAATCATCAGGCCAGTTGTTATCCAGAATGTCTGTCTTCTGGATTGGTCTTTTTTTTTTCTTATGGTGTTTAATTTGTTTCTCAATCCTTGTTTCCTGAAAACTTAGATTCATTTTCAGCATTTCTGGCAAAGATAATACAATTTGATAACATACTTACCTACATGGTATGTTATCAAACTCTGTGATCTTTGTAATCATGAAAATGGCATCTCAGCATAATTTTATTTCTCTTACTAAAGTGAAGTTGAACATCTTCCATACGTTTAAGGACCAGTTATATTTCCTTTTATATGAAATTTTCATATCTCTTTCATATGTTTTGTGCATTTGTCCATTAGATTCTTGGTGTTTTTCTTATTGATATATAGGAGCTCTTTAAAGGGAAATTTGCTTTTTGTATAGAAATAAATTGCAAATCGTATCCCAGTTTTGGCTTATCTTTTTATAGTTCCTTATGTAAAATGTATTATTTTTTTCTTCTGTGGCTTCTGCATTTGCAAAATACTCTGATTATTTATTTAAATTCCATGAATTCTTACGCTACTTACATGGCTTAATTTTGTACACATATTTTATCCATCTAGAATTTATTCTGGTATAATTTTGAGATACTTACTTATGTTTTTTTTCCAGATAGCTACCTAGGTGTCCCCACATCATTGATTACATAGTCCATCTTTTTCCCTACTGACGTGAAATGTCATCTTAACTTATTAGAAGTATTTTTGACTGTATTTGGACCTTCTAGTCTGTCCCAATGATCTGTAAGTCTATGCATGTCCAAGTACCATATTGTTTTATTGCGGTTTTATACTATCAAGAAGGACTAATAACTGCTCATTAAACTTCTTTTCAGAAATTCCTGATTATTCTTACTTTAAAAACTTTTTTCTGGGGGCCGGCCCCGTGGCTTGGAGGTTAAGTGTGAGCGCTCCACTACTGGCAGCCCGGGTTCGGATCCTGGGCACGCACCGACGCACCGCTTCTCCGGCCATGCTGAGGCCCTGTCCCACATACAGCAACTAGAAGGATGTGCAACTATGACGTACAACTATCTACTGGGGGGCTTTGGGGGTAAAAAAGGAGGAGGATTAGGCAGTGGATGTTAGCTCAGAGCCGGTGTTCCTCAGCAAAAAGAGGAGGATTAGCACGGATGTTAGCTCAAGGCTAATCTTCCTCACAAAAAAAAACAAAAACAAACTTTTTTCTGTAAGAACTCTAATTTAAAAAAATGTTGGCAGATTTATAGAGATCACATTAAATTTATAGATAAACTTAGGGAAAACGACATCTTTATAATGTTGAGCATTTCTGTCTTAAGAATATGGTATGCCTTTCTTTTTGTTCAATTTCATGTCTCTCAACAGCATTTTCTTCAGTGTGTTTGAATCAGGATACAAATAAGGTCTACACATTGTGCTTAGTTAATGTCTCTTAAGTCTCTTTTACTCTATAGGTTCTCCTTCCATTTCTTTAGATTTTTCCCATTTTTATTTTTCTAAGAAATTGTCCATTTTATCTAAGTTTTCAAAAGAAATGGCATAATATTATTTTTTATGTCTTTTTTCAACTGTGGTAAAATACACCTTACATAAAATTTACCATCCTAACCACTTTTAAGTGTACAGTCCAGTGGTATTAAATACATTCACATTTCTGTGCAAACATCACCACCAACCATCTCCATAACTCTCTTCATCTTCTAAAACTGAAACTCTCTACCTATTAAACAATAACTCACCATTCTCCCCTCCCCCTGGCAACCACAAGGATACTTTCTGTCCTTATGTATTTGACTATTCTAGGTACCTCATATAAGTGGAAGTACATGGTGTCTGTTTTATGCCAGTCACTTAGCTTAATGACCTCCAAGTTCATCTATGTTGTAGAATACGTCAGAATTTCCTTCCATTTTAAGGCTGAATAATAATCCATCCTATGTATATACCACATTTTGCTTATCCATTCACCCGTTGATGAGTACTTGGGTTGCTTCCACACTTTAGCTACTGTGAATAATGCTGCTATGAACTTGGGGGTACAAATAATTCTTAGAGACCTTGCCTTCCATTCTTTGGGTATATACCCAGGAGTGGAATTGCTGGGTCATAATGGTAATTCTATTTTTAATTTGTTGAGGAACCACCAGTTTCCATAGTGACTGTACTGATTTACATTCCCACCAAAGTGCACAAGGGTTCCAATTTGTCCTTGGAACATCCTTGCCAACACTTGTTGTTTTGTTTTTTTGATAGAAGCCATCCTAAAGGGCATGAGGTGGTATCTCATTGTAGTTTGGGTCTGCAATTCCCTGATAGTGATGTTGAGCATTTTTTCATGTGCTTATCAGCCATTTGTAGATCTTTGGAGAAATGTCTATTCAAGTCCTTTGGCCATTTTTGAAACAGGTTGTTTGGTTTTTTGTTGTCGAGTTTTAGTTGTTCTCTATACGTTCTAGATATTAGTCCCTTATCAGATATATGATTTGTACATATTTTCTCCCATTATGTGGGTTGCCTTTTTACTCTGTGGATAGTATCTTTTGATGCATAAAATTTTTTATTTTCATGAAGTTCAATTTTTCTATTTTTTTTCTTTTGTTACCTGTGCCTTTCGTATCATATCCAAGAAATCATTACCAAATCTAATGCCATGAAATTTTGTCCTTTATTTTCTTTTAAGAGTTTTATTGTTTTAGGTCTTACATGTAATTTTTGACTATGATGTTAGGTAAGGGTCCAACTTCATTCTTTAGCATGTAGATATCCATTTTACTAGCACCATTTGTTGAAAAGACCTTTCCCCCTTGAATGGTCTTGGCACCCTTGTCAAAAATCATTTGGTCATATATATAAAGGTTTATTTCTGGGCTCTCTATTCTATTCTATTGTTCTATATGTCTCTCTTTCTGCCAATACCACACTGTTTTGATTACTGTAGCTTTGTAGTAAGCTTGGAAACAGGAAGTGTGAGACCTTTAACTTTTTCAAGATTGTTTTGGCTATTTGGGGTTCCTTGAGATTCCATATAAATTTTAGGATGAGTTTTTCATTTCTGCAAAAAAATATCATTGGAATTTTAATAGGAATTGCATTGAATCTATAGATTGCTTTGGGTAATACTGACATATTAATGATATTCAGTCTTCGAATCCATGAACATGGATGTGTTTCAATTTATTTGTATCTTTAATTTCTTTCAGCAATGTTTTGTAGTTTTCATTGTACAAGTCTTTCATCTTCTTGGTTAAGTTAATTCCTAAGTATTTTATTTCTTTTGATGCTATTGTAAATGGAACTGATTTTTAATTTACTTTTCATATTGTTCATTGTTAGTATATAGCAATGCAACTTATTTTTGTATTCTGAATTTGTATCCCGCTACTTTACCGAATCCATTTATTCTAACAGGTTTTTTGTGTGTGTGTGCAATCTTTAAGGTTTTCTACACATAGAATCATATAATCTGCAACAGAGATTATTTTACTTCTTCCTTTCGAATTTGAATGCCTTTTGTTTCTTTTTCTTGACTAATTGCTCTGCTAGAACTTTTAGTATTATGTTGAAAAGAAATAGTGAAAGTGGGAATCCTTGCATAGCTCCAGTCACTCTCAGCTGCAGTCTGGGTGCACCTGTAAAACACTGTCTTAGACAATCACCCACAGACAAGAGAGCCTTTGTGGAAGTATAGGTTTCCAGCAGAGAAGTTCCAACACACTGTTGGAGCAAAAAAACATGAGCTTGGATGCAGAGGATAGGGTAAGAGGAACAGTTTGACTTTATTTGCATCCCCCAAGGCAGCATAGCTCAGGACCAAAGATACCTTCTTGGCCCATGATTTCTCCTGTGGGGGAAAGTGAAAGTGTGTGAATGAGCACCTGTTTCCCCAGCTATGTGGGATGCTGCTAAACAGGCCAATTTTGAGTACTGAATCATGAGCTGCATGACCTGAGGGGCAGGAAGAATCAGGGAGAGCAGTATATAGGATTCTCAGACAG